TCTTTTCCTCACCTGGTCTAACTTGGCTGCAAACATTACAGGGTGGGCCAAAAGTTTTTGCCCCTGTATAAAAATGTGAATATCTACTGAACGGTTTGGGCTACAGAGTCGAAAAAAAAACTGAAAGAAAGTTCATTTCATGCTCTTTCTGAAAATGTATGGTTTTAGGTTCCTACATTCATTTGGAGATGAGTCATGGCCATAAAACCATACATTTTCAGAAAGAGCATGAAATGAACTTTCTTTCAGTTTTTTTTTCGACTCTGTAGCCCAAACCCTTCAGGAGATATTCACATTTTTATACAGGGGCAAAAACTTTTGGCCCACCCTGTATATCTACGATTTCGTCATTTTTCGCAGGGGAAGACTTGAATGCTGAGATTTTCACCAGAGATTCCAATTATCCACGACGAGCAAGCAGCCAGGCTCGATTTGTACCTTTGTACAGATTGAGACCTTAAATTGATATTCAGAACCATATCATCTAGAGTATTATTGCGAATTATAGGAGAAAAAAAAAACAATACTTGGTTTCATCTACCGGTTAGTTAAATCGTTACAATACCCATTGCAGTTCCCCACTTCCACCACCTCATCACGGACCCTTCACACGGCACGTTGTCACGGTTATGTACTCAACTGGTCTGTACTTGCTCAAATGACTGGACATGAAAATTCGCTACTGACTGAAAAAAAAAGTTTCTGCCAAGAAAATCTCACAATCGAACTGATAATTCGTCCTCAGATGCATCAAGGCCAGTTATGCCTTCTTAGTTTCAGCTAAAAAAAAAAAGTGAAAAAACTCAGATTAATCATTTATTGGAATCTTATAATCATAACATGAAAGACAATTTATCATTAAAAGTGAAGGTATAGCCTATAGTCTATAGCACCTTGAAGGGGATTAACAAATCTCGGCATACAGCAACCAATAACAGCAAACGGTCAAGTGAGCTGACGGCTGACATTCAAAGCTGACGGCTTGAAGCAGCTCTTCATTTTCCTAAAATGTATCTAAGTCACTCTTTCATAGGCGACATCTCAGACATACTTGAATGGATTCATATCATCACCCTGCTTCGACCAGGACTGAACATTCGTGACAACATTCTCTAGTTTGGTCCTGGGCCGCCTGGAATTGTATTCAAGAGCGAAATCATACTTAAAAGTGGTTTCTGCAACATCGGGGAAGAGTCGTTGCATAGTGGGAAAGACGTGATCCGAGATCAGCAGGCAATATTGCTGTTTTCACATCCTCTTTGAATTGAAAGTCTTGAAAACAGCACGGGTGAAATCGTTTCACTGGTCGTCTCCAAACCAGTCCCCGCCAATGACAAACTAGACAGAACCGCGACTCATCGATGATTTGGAAACTCTTAGTGACTTGGAAACGCTGTAGGAACGATGAAGAACTTCTTGAAGCTAGTAGCAATATTAGGAATAATATTCCACTTTACTAACTTGTCTTCGGTTTCCGCATGCTGAAACTCGTGAATTCCCTTCTGGAGGCTAAAGAGGAGCATATTCATTTTTTAGGCTACATTGCCTTTCATGTTGTTGTCATGCTGATAAGGTTCCAGTAATTATGAAATCGAGTCATCGAGTTGTCTGGATTATTTTACGCTGAAATTTACGAGATATAACTGTTATTGATACATCCGCGGATGAGTTTGAATGAGATTTCTTCAGGCAGAAACTCTTTTCTGGCCAGTAATGTATGGGAGGGTTGTCCAATAAGGAACGCCTGCTTAGTTATAACTGTCTTAAAAGTCGGACTATTGCAACTGTATTCGGTAATATATTTTCTCCCAACACTCCTTTCGCACACAGTTGCTATAACTTTTCATTATGAGGAGCCAGGAAATTAGCGTGACAGTGGACACTAGATTTCGTCAACGAGCCGCAATTGAATTCCTCGTAAAGCCCGATGACAATTGTTCCAGCGTAATTAATTGGGAACTTGCTGCGGCGTATGGAGAGGGCACGATTGATGTCGGCAATATTCGGAGATGGGTTTCTCGTGTCAAAGAAACGGACACGGAAGCGGAAACGGACCTCACAGATGTACGTCGGAGCGGATACAGAGCTTCTGCATGCGTCGAGAAGGTCGTGGCAGGTGTCTTTCCGGGTGAGCTTCTTTTTAGTGATTAGCACTTTCGGAACCCACCTACCACAGATCTTTCTGCATCCTAATAAATAAATAATGTCCTTTTTGTGCATCTCATCTTTGAGCTATTACACGTTAATCACACGACAGTGTGATTAACGTGAAATAGCTCAAAGATACTTGGATTAATGAATCCAATTCGTGTTCTCATTTGTGGAAGCCCTTGCCGGTCGACCGCTCCGAAGGTTATCTGTGAGGTCTGTTTCCCCAACTTTGATTGAAAAACAAAACTCCGAACATTGCTGTCATTAATCGTGTTCTGTCCATACACCGTAACAAGCTTCCAATGAATTGTGATGGAACAGTTGTCACCGGACTTCACAACAATTCAATCGCAGCTCGCTAATGGACTCAAGCGTTTATTTTCGCTCTCATTTCTTGACTCCTGAAACAGAAAAATTATTGCACGTGTGTGGAGGAATGTTGGAAGAAAATTGATATCAAATACAACTACAATACGACCTTTATGACAGTTATAACTAAGCAGACATTACTTATTGGAACCCTCGTAGTTACGAACTCGTGACGCACGCGACCTCATCTATTCTTACCCGATTGCGTGACAGCACGCACTACAGCTAATGCTAATGTGCCAACTTTGCCAAGAAGATTTCCACCTTTTCTACGATACGACAGGCTATCAGGTCTATGCATTTTCTCTGGAATCCCAGCTAACCCTACTAAGACCCTAACTTTAAGTGGCTCTATTCAGCACAAGTGGTTACTCCTGGGATGCTCGGTCCGACTTCAACCTTCTCACTGGGGTTCTTTTACGCCCCACATCTAGAGAAGGGAAAAGGGAAAGCTAAGTGCAGAGGAGTCTCCTTTCTCACACAGGGGACCTGAGTCGGGAAGAAAGGCCCGATTAGGTCTGTTTCGAACCCAGGCCCCCGTCAAGGGACTATCACTGACCTACCCCAACGTTTGAGCGAGCAAATCGGCCGCAGCTCCCATAGTCGGAACGTGACAAGAATGACAAGTGGAGTTTTCCACCGATGTCCGGTTCTCTCGATCAGCCGGAGAGGAGGAGTGTCTGGATAAAAGAAAGCAGGCAAAAAGCGGTATCATCATATAGAGTGTCCCACATGACACGTGGTCACTTGCAGTCAGTGTAATCGCAAAAATGGAACCTAAAAACCTGCCTTCCTCCTGAATGACTTACGATAGAATATCATCTTGGGCAACAGTAAAACCACTGGTTCCAAACATGAGTCACCTGGATGAGCAAAAATGGAAGTGCAATTATATTAAAACAATATTTTAAATTTTCGATAATTACCATCAATTTCCATTAGATAGTATTACCGGTGCAATAAGATTGCACTTCCTATTACATCAGCATGCCTGAGTGAAATATGAGCATTCACAAATCGTCCACTATCTGACAAGAATTACTTTTAAAAAAATTACGGGCATTCCACAATGTTTTATCTGTTTTGACATGACTGTATGCAGAAGAATTGAGGCATGTTCGACTTAACACCAGGAAGCTGAGTCTCAATTCCCTACTGAAAAGGCGAACTTCCTTCAATTATCACAATATCACCAGCCACTCGGCGAATTCTCACGCTTATAAAATTTTAAAATAAATTTTAAATGTTCATATTTGCCCTTTTGTCAGATTGGCGACGACATCTTGTGATTGTATTTAATAGTAATTTAATACATTTGAACGATACTGTATTGTGGGGGTCGGCAAGCTTTCAGTAATTCCGGGCCTGATTTACATGGCTCGGCCCTATGGCGGGCCGGAGAGTATTATTGATTGTGGTGCTGATCTACCCGGAGGAATGAATACCAGGTTTTGAAAAGAATAAATGAAGTATAAAATAAATCTCTCTTCTTGGCATGCTTGGTGGACCGGATGAAATTTCTTCAGGGGCTGTAGCTTACCGGTCCCTGCTATTGCACTCCAGTGGTGGATCCAGAGGGGTGAGGCGACCTCCTTCCCCCTCCTAGCTAGCTTCGCAATATATTTTTAATTGCCTAAAAATTACAAATATTTTTGGTTGCTGCCTGTATAATGGATCTCCAGGTTTTACTGTGGATGAAAAATGAAGAAGGCGATGAGGATGGAAGGTAGTAGTGCGTGGTGGTGGTGGTGGGAGGGGAAAGTAATTAAGGAAGCGCCCCCCTTCTTAATAATTTCTGTATCCGCCACTGTTGTACTCAGTCATGTTATTTTAATGGGATTATGACGTTCTTAGCAATAATACAAATTTAATTGAAATCAAGTCATTATTGCATTCATATGCAGCAATGGCATTTTGATTGCAGTAATTTTTCCTAAGGGTCTCCTGCAATGGGTTACGTTATTCTGCCTCATCTACTTCATCATATGTTTCATATCGTCATTCTTCATACAGACAGCTTCATCCCAAGCCTGTCAAATTAGTCCTGCATTATACAGGGCGATCCAAAAGTCACACACACACCGACCATATAGACATACTTTCTCCCGTTTGCAGAAATAATTACAACCGTAGACTCACTACATTGCAACACTGATGAAGAGTGAAGAGTGGCAAGTTTGGACTTTACATTCACGCGCTTCCTTGAAGAAGGATGTCGCTCTCGCAACAGCGCGTGTTTATTCTTGAACATTATTTCATGACTAAATCTTACGCACAGTATCGGGCAACAATTGCAGATGAATCTCCCAATGCAGAAACACCAAATAACTCGACAATAACTCGTTTAGTTCAGGTTTTTAGGTGCGTACTTGTTTGGTGTTTACTTGGTGTGCGTGACTTTTGGATCACCCTGTAGTTGTCCATTTTTGGCATATTAATACAGAGACAGCAGGTAAGACTTTTTCCATATTGCGAAATAGACGAAGGAGGAGGGAGCAGAGACCGTGGTCCATTGTGCAGCATGCGAATCCGTTCAAGGGATATCCGGTGCATACTTCGTGAACTGCCAGGTACGCCTGTGTCTCAAGACTACAGGTATCGATTTAAGAGGATCCGGGAACGATTCTTGATTCTTGCCTCTGCAGGAACGTCGGCCGAGCAAGAAGGCGCAGGACGAGAAGCTGGCGAGGATGCTCTGGCACCGAACCCTCTATTACGTCAATCTCCATGACAACGGACCTGATGAAATTACAGCGGCCGCTGAAGGGAATAAAATAAAATGAAAAAAAGGAAGCTGAGGAATCCAATGAAATGATACAAAAAGTTTCGATTCTTCTTTGATTAAGAAACTCTCTTAAACGGCAATCAATTTGTAGGGCATTCAAAGGATAACTTTGAAAAGTGCGTGGGAATGGAAATGCTATTTACCCATGGATAAACACCTTTATTCCTGGATCCTCGCACAGTATAACAATCATTGAGGACAATCAGAATAAGAATCATGAGAAATTCTTCTTGAGTTTCGCAACTGTGACAGACTTCATCCCATATATATCACTCGGAGAGGAAAGACATCATGCTCTCTCTTGTCTTGGATTCCGGACATTTCATGTGCATTGTCTGTATCTTGTCGCGGTGAGAGTGCAGATAATACGATAAGCGAAGAGAAAGGGGAAAGCTTTTTTTTCTCTTTCCCGCCTAAAAAAGTGAAACTCAGATCATGTTCATATCACAGTCTATCGAAGCACCAGCAGAAACGAGGGATCAACGAAATAATCCCCCCAAAAACTTTAATGGATCATTCTACAGGTCTACGGGAAGCGGGGATAAACCGTCTTATGCGGGCCCTGGAATGGACGAATAACGATCGATACGATAAAAAAAAGTATTTCTTACGAGAGACGCGTTATTGTATCACAATAAGAGATATAGAAAGGCGTAGCTCGACCGGGAGAAAATTGAACTGAGAGACTTGAGTCATTAGAGCCTTCTCGTCATACTAGAAAATTGATTTCTTAGTCGACATGAAATTCGCCTATATATACGGCAATTACATCCGTAAATTTGGAATAAATTCTTGGGGCCTGCCATCAATAAAACTTATCGGGACGAGAGAACGGGCGGGGAATTGGCCTTGAAGCTGCTATCATTGGCCTTAGTGGGAAGGCAGAGGGACGTTTGGCTCCCTTCCAGGACCTTCTCCCCCTTCATGTAACGATCGGACCATACTGCCTCTTCATAGGAATCCCTCTCATCCATCCATTCCCTTCGTACACAACCTGAAAAAACGCATATAATTCTTATATCGTAGGAAGAAGATGACGATTTCCGATTAGAAGCGAATCGTGTGACTCGTCCAATCGATAAACGTTTCCCGGAGAATTGCTGCATTAGTCCTGACGTTTACTTATATTTCTATGCTTCAACGTTTTGCATTTAATTTTGCGCATAGACGTTGCTTACCAGTGCATTCATCATGATTATTTGTCTATGTTGGTGTTCCATTTTTTTTTTACTTAGAATTTTCTTCCTTATCGTGAATGTTGCTTGTTAAGCCCAAATCCAAGGGGATACTTCGCTTTTTTGTTTCCTCATCTTTCCTGCAATTTTAATTAAGCACTTTTTCGAACTCAGGAAATGGAAAACTTGCCTGCATGAGGAAATGTCGGGCCGTAAAGACGTCTCTCCCTCACAAACGGACAGACAAAACAGGTAGACAAAAACTTGACACGCAGCAACCGCAGGCACGTGTACATCCCAAGGAAAAAATTCAGTCAATCACTATAGCAAGAGCCGTAACAATGGAAGTGTTCAACAAGGATGGACGGTGAATATGGGAGGAGAGGCCGTGAAGGCGAGACACCGGTGAAAGGTCTTTCACCGAATGACGTTGGAACCGGTGGAGGAGGAGCGTGGAGGTGCGGGAGGTGGGGGACGCCCCACCCCACGTGCCATTTCAGGATGCAACAGATGCTGCTGCTGTTGCTGTTGCTGTTGCTGCTGTGCTGTCGTTAGCAGTTTCTGTAGGGCGTCTGGGATGCTTTGGATGGCTTCTTGAAGCCCCTCCAATTTCTCCTCCAGACTTGCCAGCCTCTCCTCTAGTAGCTCTTGACGCCCGTTCATGTCCGACACGATCTCGTACACGGTGCTCTGCGTCTACAGTCAAAGCCCCCAAAACAATAAGGTACAGTGCCACGACAAGGAAGGAATCAAACGAAATGCATGGTACGCAACACAGCGACTTCGCTCCTAACGTATACTTCATTCCCTGGCTTCTCTGAGCCCCTCTCTCCCTCAAGTTCCAACCAATCAGACGTCTCGAATATACGCAGCTATTGGGTAGTAAATTTTTGGTGGCTTCATGCAGATTGAAAGGCATCACGACTTTGGACTTTCGTCTTTTTGGCTATTCTACTCCAAAGAAAGGTTGGAATCAGGAGAGAAGGAACACGTTAAGATGGTCACTGTGGGAACGGAGCAGCTGGACAGATTCCGGTTGCTTGCTCATCCACATCTTTCCTTTCCCACCCACTTTCTGTTCTAGCATCCAAATTCCACGACTGAATTATGTGTAAACGCTACCTTCTATATATCATTGCCTCCACTTTGCATTTCCAGTTCCACACCCTATTGTCCTCAAAAGGTTGCAGCTCAAAAGGGGTGGACAGAGGGAAAATTCATCATGTTGAAATATGAAAAAGTCGGTAGTCACGGCAACTCCCCACCGTCGCTCCTGGGCTTGGAATTAGAGAGAGGGAGAGAGAGAAAAAAAAACTTGTTTTGAAAGGGGGAGACTTCTCTTTTGCTAACAATATCATCACTATGAAGCAACGGCAAGGTGCAATGCAATTGTTGCTGTGATGTTAAACAGGAATTATAATATTTTTTACACTGCCCACCGCAAGGGTAGAGAGGGCGCACGCTATCGATTTACTGGAGTGGTGGCACCCAATAGTGCTAGAGCATGTGAAGCGGCAACGCTAAGAAAAAAAAAGAGAATGGAGAATTGCAAAAATCATTCTCGAGAATAAGGGTTCATGGTAATATCAGTCACCGCATACTCCTCGACATTCCCTGCCTGTATGCCGTTGTCAGTAGATACTGCATGCTAGCTACACCTGAGCCTGGCATTACCTAGTATCGTGATGCCTGAGAAATCACTGTCTCCATCGCTGTCTTAAACGAAATTATATTGGAATTCAATACAGTCACTATCGACGGTATTCGATCGACGTTTTTCATTTCATTATCGTAGTATAAGTTATGCTACTAGGTTTTGTTTTCTCATTGTCGATAGCTATAAGAGACTCGAGATTCTTGATTAACAATGTTCCCAGGTTGGCAATACCTTTTATACAAAGTAGAATGAATGGAAAAATTGTCATCAACAGGATATGAAACACGTCAGGAAAATATACAAAGAAAAATTGCAGTCCTTTGATGTTTCAATCCAATCATCCAGAGTGAACGAAAAAAAAAGACAGTCAGATCGTGCCAGAGATGATGAAGAACGCATCAGATAGAGGTGAAGAGGTCTTAATTCGAGTGCATGCAAGATTGGATGTGGAGTGGAAAGGAAGAAAGGATGAAGGATGATTTTGTGCTGTCTTTCCTGTGAGCTCCTCTTCGCTTTAATGGCATCCTTCTGACAGATGAAGCTGCAGAGATTTTCTCTAGCAAGCCATTCCAGCATAATTAATCTGTAAGAACGCACCCTTGAGGACATGTCATATGTGAGAATATACCTTGGCCATGTCGGTGATGGTGTTGGCATTGTCCATCAGTTTCCGTTGGTCCATTTTCACCTTCCTTAGGCTAAAGGAGGAAAGACGGCATAGGAATCGGGCGCGACGGTGCAAGATAATGGGGCAAAAATGGAAGACGAACTTGTAGATGGCGACGAGGAACTTGCGTTGGTGGGTTCTCACCCGAGACGTGTTAACCCGTTTTGTCAGCTTCGTGTGTTTGTAAATGAGCCACGTCTCCCGAAGCACGTTCGCCGCCGCGTTCTTCAACTGCGTAATAAATTATATCGTAAAGTACTTCGCATCTGTTTTCCTCTTTCTATTTCATGTTACCGTCGTATTGGTTAAAGAATTTCTAGGTATTTTATTTATTTATTTAATAATAATATCTCAAGTGTTTCAAGGTTCACACTTCTCCATTTTCATGATTCATGATTGACAGGAAATAGAACCGCTCTGGATTAAATCACATCAATCGCACATGGCACAGTAAGCGATGATCATGCATCGTGGATCATTGGCTGCTGTATTGTTACTTTTATGCCTGACATTTTATTCTGGAAAAATTCATACCGCATATGAAGTCTTGATCCTCCCTCAAATTAGGATTTTCCCATGTTCTTCACTCCATTGTTTTGGAAGTAATATGATTGTGCATTTCTTAACTTTTTCTCTCTTAATGTTTGGCAACTTTTTCAATTTTATTATCGCTCTTTTTTATTTTCTATTCTTCTCTTCTTACAATAGCAAGTCAATTTATTATGGGTTTATAATATAGATTAGCTTGAAAAATAGTTCTTACCCGTTTCGTGAGCTGGGTGTCCATCATGAAATTATGAACATGCTTCTCGGCCCGGGTCAGCTCCATTTTCCGCGATACCACAGCTACTAATAAGGCCGTACATCCAGCACCCTTAAGAAAAGAATCCATGGCGTGCCTGAGAACATGTGGGCAATCAAGAAAGCGAGGAGAGAAAGAGAGAGATGAGGGAAGATGCCTCTCTTCTTCGTGACTTCCTGACTCCTTCTAAGCCAATCAGGGCCGTTGCGTGACGGAGAACAGCCCAATTTCCTTCAGCTGAGTTTTTTTTCTTCATCGCCTTCGAAGGAGTCAGGGAAAGAGCTTTGCCCCAACCCACACGTAAGGCATTATCCCATTTCCTCGCCGCCGATGCGATCGAGAAACGAAGAAAGAAAATGCGGGGCTTTGCATGAGTCATGCAATTTCTCGGAACCGCCGATTTCCATGCCCTCTTGGGGCTGGAAGTAGTTTTCCCCTTTTTCCATCTCGTGAATGCGACCGAGGCGGACAGCATCGTCTCCTATTGTGCCTCACATGGGGATCGGATAGAACTGCACCCTTGCCATCGGTCTATTGCATTGAGGACTGTTAGGTCGAGGGCCATAGTCCTGTGAGGTTATAAGTTCTTTCCGGATGTACCCGGCCATCCCTTCCTTATCCACTGTTATACCCTTCGTCATCAGAACTTTTTTTCATCAGAACGTTGTTTTTTCCCCCCAAGTCTTATACCTCTCTTCGCATCCTGGATCTTTTGCTATACGTGGTCACACCTGTCTTAGGGGCGGATTCTTTCTGAACCGCTATTCGTTCCCTTTTTTTACAGATTCCATCAGATTCATACTTGAAACTAAATACTTTAGCCAAATCGGATTTTTTAAAAACTTCAATCGGAACCGTGCAGCCGCACACGAAGAGGGCTCGTGCTGGGAAGACCTCTTTGATCATGTTAGGAACGTGAGATAATATAAAGTAAAGAGACCATCATTCCGGTCGTGACGGCGATGCCCCGTCCACAGTAGGTATTAGGCACGATGTCTCCGTAGCCGACGCTGAGGAATGTGATGGCGATCAACCACATTGTGTTTAACAGGTTTGCATGGTCCTCGTCGTGGTATCTGCAATCAGCACAAAAAAAAGAATACACTTTCAGTCACCCCACGCGTGGCATGAATTAACTTAATTCTAAAGCAATGAAAACATGATTGCATGAGAGATTCGGACAGCTCCCATTTCTGTAGTGAAGCCGATGAAAACTTCTCATGACTTCATCATCCTTTTTTCACACTAATACAGTGGTCATTACATACGTCGAATTCGGAAATCATATTTCGTATTTTTGAATCATTCAGATAATGCTAGACGACACCATGGAATGCATGAAACATTCTGTCAAGAGTCTGATCCCATGCATGAGGACGTGATGGCTTTATGGGACCTAGGGGGACTAAAAAATACAAAGCAGTCAAAATGGAAAAAGGAGAGGGAGAGGGAAAAAGGAAATGGAAAAGCGGGAGGAAGATCTCTTTCTCGGATTCTCCACTTTCTAGTGTCAAGACGAGTGTCCATCATATGAAAGGGATTTCCTTTCTCTGTGAGCCACTAAACCATGAAGCGTTTGTTACGGACGGGTGGGCCGAGACGACCCCGACGACTGATCCGAGGTCACCATTTTGGAGTCTTTTAGATGACTAGAATGGAGACATTGCAAGACTGTGAGTGATGGATGACCCTGTCACCGAGGGCAAGCCATCAATCCACTTTCCACCACACCATCTCTCTTCCGCCTATTTACCCTCTACGCTATTCTGGCCGAACCTCCTCTTGCGTCGTCCAAGAAAAATTGGGTGTAAAAAGAATTTCCGTCAGGTATGATAAATTATGCAATATGAAGAGACTTTGAGCAGATATACAGAAAAAGCACGACAAAACTTTTTTTTTAATTAGTTGTAAACCGCATGATCAAGTTCATAGTAGGCTAACTCGATGAGAACCTTGATCACAATTAAGCATTTTGGTCAGATTTTAATTGAATTTCAATTGCAATTTGGAAAATTGAGTAATATGCATCAATACAACGCATGATGGGAGTAATTTCAGTCCGTCATCCTGCTATGTAAATGAAATAAATATCTAAGAAGACAGTGAATAATCTCCGAAAAAAAAAACTTTGATACGTCTTATACTGCAATACAATTTGCTGTTCCATTTCGTGCATAATTTCATCGTACAAGTGTGAATGAAACGTGAGAGACAGCTTCAAACGTCCCATTAGACGAAAACGGAAGTGTATCACACTCCCAGGAGGGGAACAATTTTGATTGGATTTGCCCCTTCTGGGAGGTGAACCTACACATGACGATGATGGAAGGCGACGCAGAAAGTGAAGCATGCGTGATTCGGGACGGGAGAGGCTCTCTCTCTCGATCCGTGGACACGGAGGTAAACCAAGGTAAACAGATCGATCCCTGCGTATCCATGCTGGTCACCGGCGACCTTGCGTCCGACGCAACACGAAAGTACTTTTCTGTCCATACGTAATGCATCCGCCCTCGTCCACGGTGACTTCTCATTCGAATCGCTTTGACCTTTTCCTCGCGAGTGCATAATTTGTACCCTTCGTGCTCGTTTTCCCCGCCGAGTCCTAAATAATGCATGAGCTTTCATTCACTCGCATCGAGCAGCAATCGCTCCCAAAGAATGCACCCCTTCCTTTTTCGGTTCTCTGAGGCCAAAACGCCCAGCGATACGAACTCGGATGTTTCCCTCGATCAGAGCAGAAGAGCTCTGATTTTCGGAAAGGACTCGTGCTCGAAGCAGACAAAGAACATGGAAGCTCGAGAGCCAAACAGGCGCCGACCCAAGCAGTCTCGAGGGATATTTTCTGGGAATGAGAAATTCTCTGTTATTGCGTTACCGCTCGTGAGCGGTAAGGGCCGTCAGAGCCAGAATGACAGCCATGGAGCTCAGAAAAAGAGGGGAAAGCAGAAAAGGAAAGGAGATCCATGAAAGTTATGAAGGGCTGATGCCCTTGATTCGTATCCTATGAGGTTTTGCTTGGAGATTAATACTTGAGCAGCTGGAAAGCAGCTGCCATTTGGGACGGTCAGAGCTTAACGTTTCTCTCATCACATACGAGTTTCCTTCCATGCACGCCTCAGAAGAGACCGGAAAGAAACTATGAGAGCAGAAGAATTATGAGAACGATTCAGTGACGTGACGTCAAGGTTGCATCCGGTCTCCGTAAGTACCGGTTGTCTGGATTTTCATTCATCGCTATGGTCCTTGCGTGCTTAATTGTGATATGACATCTCCCTTGGACGCGTGACGAAATCTATGTGGCATGGTCTCGCCCGTACGACCTAACACTGGACAACGTTAGATTGGCAAAATCCAATCGGACTAAAACCCATCTAGTGTCCTTGTTACAACCTGGACGTCAGTATGTTTCACGTAACACATTGCAGAGGATGATGAAACCTGTCCTCGCTGCTCGAATGATATACGTTCGTGTTGGTTTCTTGGGCACAGGAAATGGGGTAGCAATGAAATTCCGAAGTCATTAGTATGTCGGTTCAAAGAAGAGATATGCTTTCGAACGATGACTTGGCAATGTGTGAGGCAAAAGTCCCATCAGGCACTTAAGGAGATACTTAAGAGACCCTTTACACCTTCCATTCGTGCTCGCATGCGGCGAGTTCTAATGGATTATTTAAGGAAGGCCCCGAGTGGCAACTTGGACCATCTCTCAAAGGCCCGGGGAACGAGAGCCCAACCCTTTCCGTCACAGCTACACTGCGTTTAAAGGTGAAGGTCTGCCCATGAGCATGAACGTTGTTTCACATGTAAAAATTGAGCTTAGGATAAAGTTACCATCAAGTCCACAAGTCTTCCTTCGTGCCATGACGATATACAGTACACATTATTTCAGGGCAGGCCTGGACTGCCCCCCCCTCCCCAAATGAACACCCAATAACCACACCCCATTCCAGTGCAGTGAGCTCCCTTCGTGCTGCCAACTTCCTCATAATTGATACTCCAGACAGAAGTCAGGTCTTCTAATGCCTACTGCTTGGCACTCACACGTGTTACTAAGGCCCCCAGTGGCATTATCCTTTCGTGTCATCATCTACCGAGGGAGTCTCGACTTTTGGCAATATAGTGCACATTCCAACGGGCACTGGCGTCATACGTATATTTACTTCCTCGGTGTCCCGTGGCTATGTCTCCCTGCGCCTTTGACATGCTTTCTGGACATATACCTCTCCCTATCTTCACTTCTCGATAGTCACACTTTGCTGTGAACCTCGTCGGGAGAAAAAGCTTTGTCTCCCTTCTCTTTACGTCCCTCATGCCTTGCGTCTTACATGCACAAAGTGCATCTGTTGCCTCTCAAGGTTTACGCGTTCACGTAAGTCTACCATATGAGCTCATAAACAGAACTACTTGGTGATTGGTATTCTATTGCATCCGAAGCTTTCATGTGTGCTTGAGTTTACCATGACTGTTGCGAGTGGATCCCGGATCCATACTGCACATTACAAACCTCTTTTGCTTGAATTGTGTAAAAAATGCGAGTCGCGAGAAGACATCGAGTTGGAGTCCAGAAATTGCTGCCTAATCTTACATGTTACCGAATCGGTATCTGAAATGATGAGCGAGTTTCGACAACTGAGAGCCCAGCGCCGAATAGCAACGTCACAGGCAGCGAAAAGAAGTCTCAATTCTTCCAGGGCTTCAAGCCGCAGCATACTAAGTCGACAATCCAATCTAAATTTCGAAATTGTAATCTGCAAGTCACGATTCTGGTTCCAATACATTGGACTCGATGAGGTATGATGATGGGGGTAGAGGTGCCGACGTCGAAAACGACGACGAGGTCATCTACAGGTCTCGAGTCCTACAGGCCACAAGCTGACTTGGGGACCTTTCGTCTACTAAGGGTTTCGATTTCAGTCTGAAATAACCAAATCGAGAGGTTGCTCGAGTATCATCGATGCCCTGAGACTGTTGACAGATGTCGGCATATCCGGCTTCTGTTTATTTTGCTTTCGATATCGGAACAGACATCGGGGGATTTTTTACATTTCCTCGAGAGCAAGAAACGTTTTGCCAAATCAGCAACCTCGATGATACGCAAGGAAATGAAATGCAAACCTAGGCACTAAAGAATGAAAAAAAAAGAATCCACATTCACGGTGATGGACTGCGTGCCGTGCAATCCGCTAATGCAATTCGTTTTGGAGTTGCGACCGAGAGTCTGTCACCGACGGGACTTCCTCTTCCAGATCCAGAATTTCATCGAATGATCGGCCTTGAATAATAAAACGAAGAGCGGAATGGATCCCAGGAGGAACAAACGAAATGAAGAAAGCCCCTATTCTTTCTGATCGTTTCCAGAATTTTTGAGGACGATGGGAAAAGGCCCCGGCTACATATTTCCCTTTAGGCCCGCATTTCATCCTTTTTTTTTCATTCCCAGGCGAGATGAGAACACGTCCCTCCCCGACTCCCATATCGAAAGCCCTCGATCGACTCCGCATCGGAAACCCCCCGGACCGCGAGAAAATCGCGACCGGAGCGGAAAGTTGGGACGTTCGACCGTAACGATCGTTGAGCGATCGTCGTACATCATGGGTACCGCGACGGATAAGAGAAAGGAAGTTTTCTTTGCACCCAACAACGATCGCGTGATACCTAAAGCCGCCGAATCGAGGGGTCATTTCGCCGTATCTAAATGGGCTTGTGCTGTAAAAGAGAGTGCCCATTAAAAGCCAGCAAGCAAGGAGGAACGTGTTTATCTTCCTCTTGAATTGAGGCAATTAAGCCACTTTCTTTTGCATCGATGCAGACGAAGTCGCCTGACTCCTTAGCACCGCGTGTAACGAAGCCCGATTTCTCATTCCTTTTTTTTTTTTTTTTAGCCAGTTCGCGTTAACAGTCGTCGGTTATCATGTATCTGGCATGTGAAAACAAACTCTCGAGTAACTGATGACTTGCCGGTATTCGAGTCGAGCGGCTTCCCGGTTATCGTAACCGTCGGTTGACAACAACGAACTGCAGTATCTACTACTAGTAGAACGGCATTTTAAACAGCGAACTGTCTAAAAGGAAAACTAATAAACTTTTCGCCGTCTTTGGGATCGTATCGATTCGCGTCTGGCGTCCCCGTCGCCTTCAGGCTGCGAGAACGCAATCCTTAAAACGGAATGCGTGGAGCGCGGGAAAGGTTGAAAATTTCATGCTAAAAAATCCAATAATACGGTCGATGGTTTCAAGAACTAAAATTCTCGCTAAGTTAGAGACAATGTGTTTCATGACACTCGACAAATAAACCCCCATATGACGTCCCATCGTATTGATTACTCAGTGAAAATATACTTTACGATTCAAACTATTCTACAAAAAAAATTAGACAGCACTTCATAAATATCCTATTCCGTGCGTTTGGTGGCATTCATATTCAAAAGTGCAAAGCACTATTTCGTTGGATTCATTGCAGCTCATGCAATTACAGAATGACAGGTAAGCTATTAAGGACGGAAATACAGTAAGCTATTGGGGGCTGAAATATGTGAAGTAATGGGGGCCCTATGTATACACATCGAAGGGAACGCTATCGGCGATGAATCGATGGGAACCGGCAAGCTCGTGTGCCTCTTGCATTTCCAATTCATGTATTCCGGCACTCCGTTTTGCATTTGGATTTCGTGTACTCCGGCACAGGATGCTCCGAAGGCCGAAGTCCGAAGTTCGCAAAAGCGCTCATTTCTTCGATCGATGACAGGGACCGGCCTATTTCGACTTCACTCGTACTTGTGCAACAGGGTGGGGCAAAATTAAAGCTGATTTGTATCGCTATGTCGGAAATTCCGACGTTAACGTTTCCAATGTTTCGATGGGTCGTTGATACACTCAGAAAGTTGTACTGGTTCCTTGCATGCGGTACTGGTTTTGTATTAACCAGTGCACTTTATTTTGCTCCTCCCGGTGCAGTGCGTTGCATCATCTTGAAAGGCATCTAGTACGAATCAAGGAAAGGGTGGCTCGCATTAATGCCGTATGTGTGCTTTATATAATGAAAACCTTGCAATGAGGGGCAGGCAGGACGCTGTTAAAGACGACCACGAGAACAGTTTGCCCTGTTCCAGTACGAATCGATTCGTTGAATCCGAATCGTGGATTCCAAGAGTAAAAAATTAAAGAAAAATGTTCGTCTGCTTCATCTGATCCAAGGAAATTCAATCTCCTGCATTTCTCTCGGACACTTCTTGTCGTTCCGATTCCAATATTGCTTTGTAAGCACCTAAGATTTTGTCGTTCTACTCGTGCATTTTCTCCCTCCACTTATTTTCGTGGACTTAGGTAAGTCTGGAGTGGCGCATATGGACTGCCAGCTTATATTTTTCAGTGCTGGGGTCTTCAGGAAGCTATGTAACCAGAGCTGTGTAATATTTGGCACAGCTGTAGCATAAAAGCGCCGACATGAACCTGTCTTACAAACTTTCTCGTATCTACTTACATAGGATATAATAAGAGTGCTTATCCTAGCAACGCGATAACATGTGGACCCTGGGTACATACAGTACAGCAATAATGTTGCGCAATGAGATGCGGACTCCGAGTACAAGGGAGCGCGAGCACCCTCTGCGCACGAGTCCATTTAGGCTATGGATTCACTAAATAATTAGCGTCCTAAGTACGCGGTAGCAACCTTGGCCTATAAATGCGGAGCTCACGCGAATACGAGATGGAACGAAATGGCACACCGAGCGCACAAATCCCTTCTGGATGGCATCCTCCTATTTTATACGAACATATCTGTGATGTTTTAATCCGACACGATATGACGTTATCGTGCATTACCTTTGGGTCCGTTTCCACGATGAATCTCATTCTTCTACGGTTGGTTTAATCGTATTTTACTTCCAGTGATATTGGATTTAATGCAGCACACCGATGCCATGACTAGGTGGGGAGCTTCACCTGATTTTTGCCTCCATTCTACAACAATCCTGCTGTGAACCATCATCCCATGTTCACATTCAGTAAGTTTTGAGAAAATCTGGGAACGGCCACGCGTCGTTTGAAGAGCCGAAAGACCGAGACTGTTACCAACCTGTCATCACACCGACTACGATATGGATGGGTTCTTGACGTTGGGGGCAAGAACCAGCCGAGTGAATTCAGAATAAACTCCATGACTTCCCTGCATGAGTTCATTCTTTCTAGATCATCGTTTTCGTGTTAGGGCATGTTGGGTAACCATTACATCTATGTAGTAACGTGAAACCAATTTTCAAAGGTTTTACCATTCTTCAACCTCAACCCTAACCTCAACCTCACCCTCATCTCCCACCTTCCCTCCTTCTCTACGGAACTCACTAACGTTAGACCTAGGCCTAACCAAAGGACTGTCTTTGGGTCTGGCCAAGGCCTACCTTTTTCCGCTGAAAAGAAACTAAACCCTCGACCTACGTGCCAATTAGGCCTATAAGGATCAATCCCTGGACTTCGAGACACCTCGTTGAGGACGTGTAACGTTAGGCCAATTGCAGGCCTATTCAGTCTCATGGCCCGCTTAACGGAGAATGTGTAACGTTAGACCCAATGTAGGTCTATTTCGAGTTTCATGAACCATTTCAGAGCGGTCGGGGAACATTAGGCCTACCCAGTTCCTCGAACCATCTCGTCTCGTTTCAAGAAGAAAGTGCCGTTAGAAAGCATGACATACACGCGTGCCGCCATCATGTTAGTTTAGGGATGTCCAGATGAGATACCTCCATATTACACCAAATCGATCAGCCACGGCAAACCACCGTTCAATCTCAGCTCATCCCAAGAACTCAGCACAGCAATGTTTCCTACATTAAAAGAGAAGATCCAGACAACGATACTAAGGCTGAAGAAGTCATGAATCTGACAACAACGCCGACATGATATCCGGCAACACTAGAGGACGGGATCGGAGCCATTGCGCTAAGCCTAAATTAACGGCATCGAATTTCATTTTTTAAAATGGCGAAATGGTACACTGGAAGCAAAAAAATGGGGACTTTACGTCACCTCCAGGTCAACATCTTCCATTTGAAAGTTCACTTTCTTCGAAAACTTCCCAGGAGTGGATACCGGGGTGAAAAAAAAAATACCAGAATGAAATTCTAATCTCCGAAAAGCGAGATTCAGCGATCTCCACAATCCTGGGAAGATGGAGCTTCAAATTTGCTGGAGCGATTCTGTGCTGAGACAGGTATAAGTATGCCAAATTTCGTTCCTGTTGATTCTTTCGGAGAGGCATAAGAGACGGTTGAATTTTTTCGCCAGAAGGGGTTGAAGAAAGGTAATGGAAGCTACCACGCCAATTGATTTCCGCAAAAATCTTCTGGTGCCACTCACCTGCCTATTGCATAGGGATACTCTATCGCAGTTTGAATTTTTACTAATGCCTCTCAATATGTAACTTTTAACGGAAGCTTCTCCGTGTTCTCTTCTTTCTCAGAAACATCCGAGAAAGAAGCACCTTTCGTTTAAACCGAAAGCGAAAAATCCTTTACCTTTCGCACTGACGAAGAGTCCAGGAGGCGATGATCCAGAGGGAGACCATGAAGACGAGAAGGACCGTGCCGGGACAGATGGTCATCAACGTCTTCAACACGAACCGCGTGTTGAAATTGATGCGATTCAACGCCCCGATGCTCCTGGAACTCGCATCCGTGAAGAGCTTGCTGTGAAGGAGCATGACGCGGCAGATGAGGTAGAGCCTGAGGAACATCGGCAGACTCAGCGTCACGTCCACCGGGACCCATTTGGACTCGATCTCCCGCCGCTTGTTGTTCAGCTTCGTGGTCCAGAGGAAATAGTACTCTCCGGGGATGGGATGCACGCCGCAGATGAGGAGCTCGATGGTGATCTGCATCACGCGCTGCCACGTCATTGCGATCCGCCAGTCGTCCGCACAGTTGTCGATCATGAAAAGCTGCCGGATTAGAAGCGATCGTGCGTTAGGAGTAGAATTCCTTTTCGTTTCGAGCCTCCTCTGTTACGAACTTTCGAATCGGTCGTTTCTCTGTCTCGCGAGGAAAACAGATATTCACGGAAGAGATATCAAGTCTTAAGCAAAAAAGAAATCGCCTAGTACAAATCTAACCAGACCTAAGCGAATAAAAAAAAAACGAATGAAATGTTCGATGTGAAAGGTAAAATTATGTGCATGATGATCCATTGCATTTAATATGATCGTCTGTTACCCAGTTGTATCATTCTGCAAGAGGAGGTGCGCATGGGAATTTCACAAAAGCATGAATGCGTACTGATACCTGGACCTCCAGGGCGTGATATGCAACGATGAGGCCGAGGAGGATGATTGTGGACACCGTGATCAACGTTTTCAGAGCCGTCGAGTAGAAGGAAGCCTGCGAAGGAAAAAAAAATGTCGAATATGAACGAGAAGGGAAAAAAATTCAATCAGGAATCGAGACTCGATTGGAATTTTTTTTTCTCCGCACGGAACTTAATCGTCTCAAGGTTCACTCGGACGGTACGTCTTGAAAGACCCAATCATGCGATGCCATAAAACTACGCGGATGATGAGATGAAATGTCCACCTTTTAAAGGCATCCATCAAAGCGAAATCGATTCATCATGCTCCGTTTATACAAGTGTGAGGGGAAAAATGAGTGCAAAATGGTCTTGGGCTCCCGGCCAATTTCCTCTAGTGTTTTCGATCGGCCGAAAGCGGAGGAAGAGCATGGAATGCGATCCGAGTTCCACCGAGACGTCTTCCGGTCGCTTAGGGTCAAAAGGTCGAAGGTCACGACGAGGTCGAGGCCGTCCTGGGGTCCTCCGACGGTTTAAAGTCTTCCTCGAACGGTTTTCGACGCCGTTCATTGGCAGGAATCCAAGAGATTCATCATTCTCGCCGACTTGGGCTCAATTAGCCACAAGTGGCTTCATTTGAATAGATATGGGCGTCATCATCATGCCTCTCGCCATTTTCCCAAGACACCAGGGTGGAAAATTTCCTATTCCCTACGATATTTCTTCTTCCGCTCGTGTCGCGGTTTCTGTCAGCGTTCATTTTCTTTCATTCTTTCGCATGTCAGATCTCGGCCCGAAAAACTCCCACGAAATTCGTTCGCGGTGCTCGTGCCTGCACAGAGAGAGATAGGCGGCTTATGGACATATATGGCGGCCGGATATCCCATTTGCGTCCGAGGATAGAATTAACGAGGCGGTGTTGGGAAAGGGCGGAGGTCAGCGAGGGCATTCCGATTCCAAATTGCTTTTCCGGGACTGCATTAAATTCGTTAAATCGTCAGACGAGGAAATACTTCGAATTTCCCTCGGGGATGCCGGATGCAATCTCTCGCGCTCCACCGCAAGACAAAGATATGCATGGCTGTTAGTACTCGAGTTGGTGTTTGCACCAGACTCCCGATACGTGCACGTGCAACGATCTGAGAGCACCTGCAAGGTCTTTCGCGACGATCGATATCATTTGCAGAAACCTGGAGAAGACGAGCTTGCGATTCGAACACTTGTAGAAAAAAAAAGGAAGCCTGCCATTCGTAGAATACACGCGAGAAAGATGGCTGGTAAGAATTACGCATCGGGAAAAAAGCTCCACGACTGCATCGGATTCTTCACGTTTAGATCGCACATCTGTGGATTCTTTCATTTTCTTTTGCGTCCGACTACCATTCTCTTCATCCAGACGTGGAATCGGTTCGTACCTTGGTATAGATGCTGGCGGAGGAGAGTTCGTTCTCCATGACCATGACGATGATGCCGAACATTCCCATGACGAGAGCATAGTCGGAGATCCTCTTCCGCTTCTCGAACAGGGCCTTCCGGCGACCCAGACGATAACCGACGTTGGGGCGGTGGCACTTGGACGAGGAGGAAGTCTTCTTCTCCTCCGTGTATCGGGGGTATTCGGAATGGACTCCCATCAAGGCAATGTGGGCCGGATCTTCACCGTTTGCATCTCCACCTCTCCCCTTTTCCCCTCGCATCGCGCCTGGGATGCTCAGCGTCGACACCGGCTTCCTCAACTGATAACAAACATTTCAAAACGAAAGCTCAACGTCGGTAGGAACTCGAGGGCGTGGATCGACGGAACTTCCAACGAAGATGTTGGGCACCTCTTTTGTGTCCCTAAAGTACCCTTTACATAGTACCCTTAATGATGGGCGAGCTACTGCCGTAATAGACGTTAATTATAATAGAAGCTCATTCTCATCACTGTCATACGAGACTCAGGTCTGCATGAGAATCGCTTCTGTTGTATGATGGTATTATTTTCATTGCCTCGTGTCCGCAACGTGGAATGTTCACTCGGTGAACTTCGCCCCACCTCCTTTTTTTCCTTCCTTTTTTTGTATTTTAGCAGAGTTCGTATCGACTTGGAAGATCCTTAAGGATAAAGGACAAATGGTCTCAAGGCCTTCCCGGATACAAAAAAAGGTAAGGTTGAAGTGTATTATGAGAACAGGTGGCTCCCTTCCGAGAATGGGGACCGTGCCGTCTGGGGAAAAGAAAGGCTTATCATCCATCTGGCATCTTCTCCTTTATCCTCCTTCAGCGTCTCGTCTGGCAGGAAATGGGGAGAAAGGTACGGGAAACGAGTTTCTCTGCAGGGGGGACACAATCGAAAGTGGAAAAAAACGCAGAGCCGATGGAGATGAGCCAGAATGCTGACGTTAACGGTGTGGTGCAAAAATGAGCGAAAGGTGCCTCGAATCGGTTCCTCGTTCGCGATGACGAGATGCGGTGTGAATGCGCACTCGTTTCGTACCACCCCGCATAAGCGTAGGACGCACCTGAGAGAAATAGGAGAGAGAATGGCACGACGCCAGCCCGGTGGCTTTTCCCGCTGCCACGAGTGCGTAACGGGAGGGATGAAGAAGATGATCCAACAACATCGCGAACACTTTGCGGCGTGCGATTCGAGACCGAGATTGCACCGTCTCGGAGACTCGCCTCTCGAGATTCTGCCGGATGGCCGAGTCGCGAGGCGGGGAATGAAGGGAAACTGGGGTGTGACTCCGGTTTTCTGCTCTTTCCTTCCAAATATAATAAAATCATATCCTTGGCCTAGATGCCGAGTTAATTTAATGGAAACGAAGGAACAAGCAAATGGACATCATCATCATCATATCTCAACGCGTGACCCCGTTGTTTGGCATTCGTGACCGCGATTCATCCGTCTGAAATGTCCCGTCACGGAAAATATCCATCCCTCGTCGATGGCAATTATTTATCGCGTTTCGGCACGAGATGAATTCCACCAAGGAGGAGGGGGTGAGGGGGGGTGAGGGGGGGGATGGGTGATGTCCGTGACGAGGACCTCGATGACGGCGATACAGACTCTTCTTGCGGTCATTGTTCCCCGGACATTCATCTCCAGCCTCTTCGGCGACAGCTCAATGGCGATGTAATGAAGCCGAACTCTTTCTTGGGGAATGGGGGAACGAGGTCGCGAGGAGACGGCGAGGAAGAGGACGGAGCAAAAAATGGGAACGTCATATCGGCCATAAGAAGTGGGGCAAATAGTTGGAAAAAAGACACCTGCTCCAGGATCAGCAAAGATATTTGCACAAATCTCGCTTGTTTGCCAGCCACCGGTCCCACTCGAGAACGGAGACTTGCTCAAACAATATCGAATGCTGAGAAATGGGCAGAAGGGCTTGATGGAGAGTTCGACTAGGAGTGAAAAATAGAAAATTATGCAGTTTTGGCAGAAACTTGCTGTTCGATCCGGTGGGAGCCGAAGACTATCGATATGAGACATATCTCGACGAAACTTTCTTCGGAAACTCTCCGAGAAGTCGCATCGAACTCGCTACGAGCATGGAAGCTGCTCGTCCGAAACTCGATGAGGAAGTCCGAAAGTCTTCGAACTTTTTTGAGCTCTCGCGAAAGTTGCGGTAACGTGCTTAAGGCATGAAGACCAAGTTGCCGAGAAGACGCAGGGAGAATGATTGGGAAACTTGCCCAAGGACGCTAAAAGCTCGGAATTTTCTCGAGACGAAAGAGTTAGGAAAAAAAAAAGACGCTCTGGAAGCCGACATCCGAGACGGACTCACTGCGAGTGAACCCGTCCGAGGTCCGTCGAGATGACGTAGAAAAACGATGTTTGAAGAGGGACTGAAAACGGTCCTAGGAAAGGGGAAGGGGACGCCCTAGAGGAACGTATGGTGAAAGGGACGAGTTTGCCAAGTTTGAGAGAGAAGGAGAGAAATTTCCATGAATTTTCCCTCTCACTAGAGGCTGGCAGGGTTTCAAAGAGTTGTCCCCCGTCATCCGTCAATCCATCCATACCTCCATTATCGCTCTCTTCTCTCTTCGCCCCCCTTGATTCATGATTCTCTTCCCTGCCCTTAATCCTCTTTATGTCCTCGACTGATTCATATGAAATGACCCAGGTCCATCGATGAAAGAGGGGGCTCGTCGCCAAGTATCCGTGCTCGCGCATCGCTCTCATCCTCACCCTCACCCAACGGATTCATACGACCGACTGTTTATATTTTCGGCTTCTTTTGATCGTCTGTCACGGCCGCTATCGTTATTGATATTGCGATTTTAGATTTACTATTGGGGTTGCCTATTCCTCTGACGAATCGATCGATGGAGACACTTAATCACACGGTCGTAATTGTAGTAATTCGAATACGTCCTTCTTCCGACCTCTTTCATCTAGTGCTTCCGACCTTGGCTGGTGCACTTGATTGTCAGTAACTACCTGGTGCTCAAAAACTGTCATAGGTGATAGGGTGACACAGCGGTATCATGTGCAATGACTAATTCAGAGGAATTTTTGGTTAAAATCCGGGTAATCGATTAAGCGGCCACAATTAACAGTATTACAATTTTTGATCAATCGTTATAGCTTTCTTTTACCAAAGTAATTTTTGTCACATCGTTCGATAACGAAATCGTGTTGCACCGTGAAGATGAGGAAAGATGGAAGTTACGCCTCACACTTTCGCATGAAATATCGTCTACATTTATGGCTTGGGACAGACCCGGGGCGAGTCCATCCGTCCTCCTTTCTCGTAGATTGAGCGGAAGAAAAAACTTCCGCCCTCGAAATGAGTCGACTTGATTTGTCGGAGGGGAAAAAGATGAGGAAAATAAATGATGCAGGCGGAGGATCCAGCTGCGGGGGGTATCGCAGGAAGTTCGGGTTGCGATAAAACAGCCGCATGGATCCAGACATGCAAGACATTCGCCAGTCGCACTCGTTAACGTCTTCGTTCGTTTCGTTCTTCATTCCCGGGCCTTAATTCGCGAATGTCCTTAATTGGCCTGGAGTTGCTGGGTCTGGAAAATCGTTTTGCGGCGCGTGATCCAATACAATTAAAGTTTTGGGGCGAACCCCATCAATTTCCGTAATGTCCGCCCTGCGCAATTCCCTCGTCTCCCTCCTACTTTTTTCGTTCGTTGGGATCCTGCATGCAAAATGCATAATCGATCTACTGAGCACACATGCCCAATCTCAGAGAGTCTCTTAGCACTTTCATCAGCTGTTCCCTGTATGAGGAGAGAGTTCTTCGTCACTTTTAGTAAGCATGGGTGAGCGATGATCTTTGCATGTACAGTAGTTTTACCTCGTTACACTTTTAATTTTTTCGCCGGCAAATCATAATAACAAATCGGCAAAAAACGCGAGGGGAATAATAAATAACAACCTACTACAAGAAGATGCTCGAATAATAGTACCGCAAGCCTAAGAAGTGGAAATGTGAAACCTTTCGGGGAAGCCGTTATATACCGGCAGTAAATATTTTTCCCGTCCTCGGTAGAGATACTAGAGAAACTTAAAGAGTGGATTGAATGCAAGGAAACGTGAAGTCTGGCCGCGGTCGACCCCCCGTGAGCTCTTGAACCCTCTTGGAAATCCGGTCGTGTCCGTGATTACAGCGAAACGACGGGAAAAGCGGAAGCTGTTTGCTCTAAAAGGTTGCCTGTCGAACGGAATGTGACTCTCGCGGACTTCGGTGTCACACAAAGTATGATACTCAAACTTCAACTTTATATTCATCCTTCTCTGATCATAAAAGTAGGGCTCTCATACTTTCTGCTCTCATCATTTAAAAAAAATTACATACTGTTCAGTTCAATTGTGCTCTTTATAATAATAATAATAAACTCATTACTTTGAAAGCCCATAGATACTTTCTCACTGGATTCTACTGAGACAAGAGGACTCGATTTTGCTAGAAATGAAATTGTGGTTTCATCATCGACTTCAGTGAGATGATCTCCAGATGTCACTTTATTCCGAATTTCTGCCTCGAAGAAATCTCTTGGTGCTAGAGGTCTTTCCTCAAGCAGTAAATACAGACAGCTTTTGAGGGGGATCCAGATATTCACTTTTGGTACTCCTATTGGTTCACCTTGCGTCCGTCTTAATCGAATTAACGATGAAAAAACTATCACGATTTTAAAATCGAAAAAATAATTGGTAGATTCACGGCAGACGAACGAAAGAACGTTCGCTAATGAAATGAATGAAATGCATCTCGGTCGATTGGAGTGCTTTCGTAAATCACGACTGCCCTAAAAGAAAATCTTCATCATGCTAAGCATCAGGAACGGGTGACGTCACAGATCTTAAAATATATATTCAATACTGCACTTCCATTCGCATTCTCATTCTCACCTATGCATATTCACATGGATGCCATACATTATTTACCTATTGACGGGCACTCGGGGGACGATGACGTTGGTTCCGTTTCACGAAGGACAGCGTTCCCACTCATTAATTTACGAGACCTAACACGTTCCAAAAATAAATTCTGCCGAGAAGCGTGTTGACGTGGATGAATCTCGATCGTCTGAAGGACCTCCGATGATGGCGGATAGATTTTAATCTGCAGGGTTTTCGAATAAAAAAGAAGCCTCGCTCTTTGGAGAACTCTGTTCGTTGAATTCTACACTTATGAACTTCGATTTTGAAATACTTGAGCTCCAACCGAATCGATGCATTATATAACATTGGTTGCACAGTTACAGGTGGATATTGAAAAATGCCAAAGTTTTGTAAAGAGGATTTGGCTC